GAATCGTAGGGTATAAGATTTTCAGGTCTAAATTTACGCATACAATTTGAAATCAGTACACAGTAAAACAACTAACTAAATATAAAAATAAGTTGCAATTTCAAGAAAAAATTTTCTAATAATCCTAATATGTCCGTTACTCTAATTGTGATTTTTGTTTACTCACTCCCAGGCAACAGCGCCTAAAACTTGACCGCGACTTTATATATGCTTAAAAATATAAGATAAATATGGACGGAATAAATATTCAATAATTATAAAGTCACAATTATCAACGCAAGTATACATATCGCTCAAGTAATATAAGACTCTAATGGAGTCCTAGATATCGATCCCACAGGGAGTAAGATTATAACTACGAACTAAGACTTTAGAAAATTAATATTTAATTAGAACAACGAAGTTCAAATTTCTTATATGTCACTAATAGACAATTGAAATAAATATATTATTTTGATAACTATTAAATAACTAATTATACTAATAAAGATTCAAATGTAATATTCAATATATAAGAAAGCATTCTTCTCCTTGTCAAGAAATTATAGTGAATGAATAAAGTGAATTAGTTCAAATTATATTGTGCCAAATAAAAGCATGTCTATTCTTTACCCTTTGGTCCAGACATAAAAAATATTGACTAATCCTACGCTTGTTTACTGAATCTGCGGCTAGGCTGGGAGTATACGGCTCTCGCTTCGGAGCTCCCACGTTCCCCTCGTCTGAGGGCTAACATCTACACTTCAGCACTCAAACGATAGGACCGAATTGGGGATTTTAGTCTGTCACTCTAAAATCTCCAATTCTACTCCCGATAATATTATTTTTCGATTTATTTGCACCCAACTTCCAAGGGTTTTGACATCTCTGAATCTTGGATGTAATCTTCACTTTATTTGGAAAACTTAACATATTTTAACAAATTAATTAGCCAGATTAATTTTTGACTCATTAATTATGAACTTATTAATATCTAAAATTCCCACATTAATTTTTAAAATTTCATTATTTGTCATAATAATTTTAGTAATATGCTAATATGCAATTTAAACTAAAAAAAACCCTGTCACTCTAAGATAATTAACTAATAAATTAATATTATTGACTAATTCACACATATTTACTTATGTTAACTAAATATAGATCACATTTACTTTCTTTTTTTTCATTTTCAATCTCGTTTCTAATTTATGTTTATAAAAACAAGACGTAAATCGAACCCCCAAAACATATTTTTATTTTGGAAGATTTACGTACATACTGCGTAAGTTTTATGTATTTACATATCTCACTCCTGAACTTTAATCTTTACATTTAATTACATGTGAGATTGAATATAATAATAAGTTCATAATTATTTAATTAGCGCTTAAATTACACTTAACTATGGTATGCAGTGCTTCCATGAATTAGTTTTGCATTAAATACTACTTTATTTATGTTAATTACATATTTATCACTTTTACTTTTATTTTTTTTTTTATTTTCAAACATGTTTCTAATTTATGTTTATAAAAACAAGATGTAAGTTGAACGCCCAAACTTATTCAAAGTTAAAATAATTATGTTTTTCATATGATATGAAAATTCTACGTAGTGTAAATATAAAAAAAATTTTGTTTTGTGATGCATGAGGTGTCTGATCTCTACCGTGGATCACCGCAATCAAAATTTTTTAAAAAAAATAAAAGTGGGTTCCACTGAAGTAGTGATCGACGATAGAGATCGGATACCGCATATATCTCTGCATGCAGTATCTGAATATAGGACAAAAAAATAAGAAAAAATGGCCTTGCAATATGCTTGATGGGAATATTAGTAGACCACAAAGCTTCATTCTCTCTTGTTAATTAAAGAATACTTCCAAAAAGTCATTGGTTTTTTTCTCATTTACATCCAAAATCATACCAAAAATAAAAAAAATTACAATCAAGCGGCCACAAAATAATTAAAATTTAATTTTTTTTCGAAGCTTGATGTTCATCAATGGCTGCCAGATATTTCCCAATGATCCAGAATTTGTCTTCAGTGATTAGAAATTTCGCTTTCTTTCTACAAAAACACAGAATTTTACTCTTCTTCCGGAGCTTTAATGGCCTCCACTCTGCTGCGAAGTTTGATAGTTCCCAAAGAAGTCAAACTCTATATCAGATTCCACCCTTCCAAACCTTCCATTCTTCTTCTTCTTCTTCTTCTTCTTCTTTTTCTTTGTGTTCTCTTCGGAAGATCCATTGATCAAGAGATCCGTTGGGCATGTACTCATAAACGAGAAGTCTGTGCGATTTCTCAGCGCAGAAACCGACTAGTTCTACGAGATTAATGTGGTGAATGCTTCCAATGGTTTCAACTTCTGCCAAGAACTCATTTTTCCCCTGACCGAGACCTTCAAGTTTCTTCACTGCAACCTCGTTGCCATCCCGCAATGTTCCCCAAAACACAGATCCAAATCCTCCTTGTCCGAGCTTTCTGTTAAAGCCTTGTGTGGCAATGTAGAGTTCATCGAATGAAAATCTGATTAGAGCTCCACGCACTCGATCGAACTGATCACTGTACTCAATCTCTTCAGATCTTCGCCTTCTGAAACGGAGAATGATGACCAAAATCACAGAAGATGTGAGGAGCAAGCTTCCGAGCATGGCAATGAATACACTGATTCTGTTTGATTTTTCCTTCGATGAATGATCTGCTGATGAATGATCTGATGTTATTGGTGGTGCCATATGCACATGCATCTTGATGTAAGCTGATGAGCTGTAGTTAACCGAGTTCTTCAAGGAGAAGATCTCGGTAGGGAGATAACAGTCTCCATGAAGAAAATCTCCTCCATACTTAAAAAATGCAGCTTTGCAGGAGCAATTCATCAAACAAGCTTGCTTACAGGTCTCTTCATCCGTTCCACGAAGAGCAGCAGCATTCGGATCGATGTAATTGAAGTAGGAGATGTTGCCCAAAGGCAAAAGGCGATGGTTTTCTGCAGATTGACAGGAAATCTGATTCACAGGAGAGCAGCTTTTAAGCCAATTGTCCCTACTGTACGTCTGGAAGAAACTGGAGTCTCCATCACTAACATTTACAGGACAACTGCACTGTCTTTCTGAACAAATCCCATACTCCCCACAAGCCATGGGATAATCGCAGTAACCAAGAAGAAAATTTGTCAAATCAGACAACATCGTTAGTCCTTGATTGAAATTCTGTCCAATTCCATATACTCTCAAATGGCCATCGTAATCCAATCTAATGAACAGAACAGCCCAATTCTCCGGGAATACAATTACCTTAGCATTACCATCAGGCCATATAAGGTGGCCGTCCTTCAACGTGAGATTGTAAGCTGGAGTTATTTTACTAACATTTTCGAATAACTCGAAGTAAAGCTGAGGAGGGCTGGAGTTAACGTAGGCGTAAAAGCCGTCTTCTTGAATCAAGAGATAGTACATACCTCGAGTGGTATTATCGGCAAGGTAATTGGAAGTAAGGCTTTGTCCAAGTTTTAGCGTCTGGCCATTAAGCAGAGTATCCGTTGGGTGGTCGAAGGAAGACCAAACAGTCTCATTTTTGTCGTTGAGAAGCATGAGATTGCCGAAAGAAGTGAGATTCAGGGATGAAACAGAGCGGTTTGAGGTGTTGGTTGACCAAACGAAGGTGCCGTCGGAATCGAGGAGGATCAAGTCGCCGGCTTTTGTGAAATGGAGGGTGGCGTTCCAGTCCACGAGGCGCTCACGGTTAGCCGACCACAAGAAAGGTATGTCATGCAAGATATCACTCAAGAGTTCGGAGAAAATCGTGGTGTTGATGAGGAAGATGGAGAAGAGGAAGCCATGGCAGGGGGGGAAGCAGTAGAATCCGCAGGCGAAGCTGGGGCCGCCGGAGCTCTTGAGGAGGATGATGCGCGCTTTGGCGCCGCTGATGAAGTTGATTGAGTTGGAGGCGAAGCGGTGGTTGTTAATCCAGGTGGTGTTGAGGTTCGCCGATGGATAGTCAAACTGGATTTGCGCGTGGCTGAGGAGAATGAGGGAGGAGAGGAGGAAGATGAGGGTTGGTTGCATGATGGTTCTTGTGAGAGAAGGATGGAGGGCAGGGAGAAATGGGGAGCATAATCCATCATATTATCATTAAAATATCATTAAAAAAAAAAACTTTTGGAACATGTTAGTCTTCCAGTTTCATGGGCAGATTCTGTCAACCATGGAGAAGAAAATGATAAATAAATAATTTAAAATAAACGAAAATGTCATTTTGCAAAATGATCATTTGCCATTTGGCCTCTTCTGCATGGCCTTCAAAGTAAAAAATCTTTATCACAAATGTGGCCAAAAATAAAAGAGTCAATTGAAGGATTTTCTTATTCCAACTCAGGCAATTAGATGCATAGCACACAATTCTTTTGTAATTACTCATCTCAGACGTAAACTTTTATTATTTTGAGAAATTATTACGTCTTGACTCCGGACATACAGATACGTCCGGAGTCCAATGAATTACCTTCAGGTGGAGCTGTTAAGAAAAAAAAATCATTTTCTTGTAATCTGACCCGGTAACACAAGAGAGTATTCATCTCGTATTATTCTGCGTTATTCAGGTGTTTTTTAGTAGTGTTGATGTGTTATTGTGTTATTATAACACCGGGAATATTTCTATAACACAATAATACATGAATAACACATGAATAATACGGAATAACACGAGGAAATATTTGCTTATGCTAAAATGAATTTTTTTAATTTTTCTGTGGGTGATTTTATTGGACTCCGGACGTATATCTAAGGTGAAGCTGACAAAAAAAAAATTGTTTTCTTGTGATTTGACCCGGTAACACATGAGAATATTATTTATGTGTTATTACACATTATTTGGGTGTTTTTGTGGTAATATTGATGTGTTATTGTGTTATTATAACACCAGAAATATTCTCAGAACACAATAATACCTGAATAACATCTGAATAATACGGAATAACACGGAGGGAATATTCTCTTATGCTAAAACTAATTTTTTGATTTTCTGTCACCTCAACGTAGCGTGATTTTATTGAACTCCGAGCATATCTGTATGTCTGGAATCCAGACATAATATTTGTCCTATTATTACAGTTATATCAATTTTTAATACAACAAGAAAAATAGTAAGATAATCACTTTTTAAAAATTGAAGCACAGCTTTTCAAGCATTGAAGATAAGTAAATATGAAAATTTAAGAGTATGATACGTAAGAACATAAGAGTTGTGAGGTAGATATGTAAACTTCCCAAAAAATTTTATCTTGCACTTATTTTTCATTGAACTTTGCATATAAATATCAGAACAAAAAGGTGAAGTACATGTTTTCATACGGAAAAATATTACATCAGGATTCCTAACGTAGAGCTACGTTCAGACTCCACTGATATGCGTACACTTGGCTTCAAGGTAACGCGCGCGCTTTCCTGTGATCCAACCCGATAATATAAGAGAATATTCCTTTTGTGTTATCCGCATTATTCAGGTGTTATTGTTGTGGTATTGATGTGTATTCCCAGAACACAATAACACATGAATATTACCACAATAACACCTGAATAATACGGAATAATACGAGAGGAATATTCTTCTGCGCTAAAACGATTTTTTTTTAATTTTTCTGTCACCTCCACATGTTCGTATATCAGTGAACTCGAACGTAGCTCTATGTTAGGAGTTTTTATTTAATATTTTCCCTTTTCATACATAGTTAACGTGATGTTTATGTAAAGATTGATTTTTAGATGTTAGATATGTAAATACATAAAAATTGATCGGTATGCATGTACATATCTTCTTTTTATGTTTTAATTTTCGAAATAGCAGCTATATATAACTTATTAAAAAAGGGAAATTTACATACATACCACATAATTCTTATGTATTTACATATCTAACACCCAAATTCTGATATTTATGCTTATAGTATCTTGAGTTAGAAACATATACATGAAAAGATGCATTTCACTCCTAAAAAGTTATTTATAGCAATATTTTTTATGTGATGTCAAGGCTTTGAGGGGTATGCATGTAAATATGAATGTTTAGGTTTTAAATTTGTAAATTCATAAAAAATTTGCGATGTGTATATAAATTTCCTATAAAAAAATATTTAAGATTTTGGTAGTTAAAAATATATTATATTTAGGGTTAAAATGTTATAGTCAATGTTTTGAATGATGATGGTATTTAAAAACCCCAATTATATATATCAAGTCGTGTAACTCGGTCAGTTGGTCGGCATCCTCGGTGTAAAACCCGTCAAGTTAGGGGTTTGAATCCCTTCTGGTACAATTGGTCTTAAGAAGGTGGTACTCGAATTGTTAGACACATTAGGAGTGGTTGAAGGCTTGTATAATAGCCTCTAGTCATTTCTTTTTTCATATATATATCTTATAAAAAATGTTATCAAAATAAAATTTAATTTAATTTAGAATTGTATGTTATAAATTCTTATTTGCAATAATAATACTAATTCTTATATATAATAATATAATAAATTCTTATATATATCTTATCAAGTTTTTTTCTTGGAACCTCAAATATGTAATCCAAAATTCAAAATAGACAACCCTCTCGGGTTTATTTGTCCATAGTTTTATTGTCAACATAAATAATAACAATAATATAACAATTCTTCCTAAATTTTATTGCAAATAAGATTAAATATCGTTAGAAAAGTGGCATGTGATTGACGAGAAAATATTAAGTTCATCGTTTGGACATACGGACGACGGCGTGGATCGCACCACGTCGTGCATCTAGTGGCATGGTGCAATCCACTCTATCAAGAACATGTCTGATTTACTAGATGTAATGTTTTCTTCCTATCGAAGCACCGGTTTAAAAATTCAATGCAATGCACGTGTGGTTATTGGTAGCTCATATATCTCTCCATCAATATATAAAAAACCAGCTGAGTTGGCCCCTGGCCATGCAGACTTTTCGCTCAACGGTTGGTCGCCTACATGTGCAGACGACCAGACACAATATTTTCTTCTCTTATCCAGTTACAATTCTCATATATTTATTGATTAATTTTCATGATACAGTCAAAACTCTGTAACATAATCTCTCTACTTTAAGAAAAAAATAGTTTATGCCTTCAAGATGTACAGTGGACTGTGTTGACTAGGTTATGTCTCATGATTTTTTCTTTTCCAAGGTTTTCCACATGAAATCTCTAGTGTTTCCACTTCCAATACTTCTTTTACCTATCATAAACAAATTAATTAAATCATGAACTCAATTAAACTATTAATCACCTAATTAAACCACTAATTATCTAACTAAATCATCAACTACAAATTAATAGTAACCCAATTAAAACATTAGTTTTTTATTTCTAATGCGCCTCATTCATGACCTGAAGATGACATGAGAAAAAAAGAATAAGCCGACTAGGAAGGCTTAACTCTTGAAATTCTGACAGTTGTCGTCGGTCTGCTGAGATCGTAGCTGATCACCAGAGTTCGCTGGCAACCACACAAGAAATCACTGTCGATGACCAGCGTTTGCCGAACACCATCATCAACTGTTACAGTTCAGAGTACCCTTACACGGTTACAATTGTGAGGTTATTTCAAATCAGTTGTGATTTCAATATAACTTTGTAATCATGTCTATCTTATTTTAGGAGAAGATTGTATCTCTCAATTTTTAATTTTACAGAATAAAATTCCAGCAATTTTTTAAAATATTATAAATTTATAATTTTTTTTTTCATTTTTTTCAGTTGATTTTCTATCATTCCAATTCAACCCTAGTTTTTTTGAAGATTTGCATATTAATTTACATAGCTAAAACATAAATTTTAATTTTTTACATATGTAACATTTTCTTCTTGCATAAAAATTCGTATTTCAGTCTTTAAAAGTTGAAATAATGATAACAAGGAAGAATTGGATGATATAAATGTAAATAGCAGAGTTTAGATGTTTGATATGTAGACATATAAGAATTAGGTGGTTTGTGTGTAAATGCCCCTAATTCTATTTCATCAATGTCCAAAGGAATAGGAAGAATTGCTTTCCAAATGCTAGTTCATCTTCGATTTATTTCATTAGGGTAATTTTCTAAACATTAGATTTTAGATATACAACACTCAAAATTTATATAAACATTGTTTTTTTTTTTATCTTATTATCTAATTTATGTATTTGTGCATGTCACAGTCAACCGTTGGAGGGCTGATAAAAGTAAATATTACGTCAAGAGTCTTGTGCATGTCAGAGTCAACCGTTGGAGGGCTGATAAAAGTAAATATTATTTTTTTTATCTTATTATCTAATTTATGTATTTGTGCATGTCACAGTCAACCGTTGGAGGGCTGATAAAAGTAAATATTACGTCAAGAGTCTGAACACAAGCCACGTACGGATAATGGTTAAAATCTATTGGATGTCTTTTTTTTTTTCTTTATTCGCTCCTTGCTCCTTTTGGCGGATCGCAGTCGTTGTCCGGACGCAACTTGCGTCCAAACTCCAAACATATTATTTTCTCGTTTTATAGACCTGAATGGGATAGCCATAATCTTCTTTTGCTTTGTGGGCGCATGCATTTTTTTTAAATCCAATATTTCTTATTTAATCACAATAGTTATGACAATCATTTGCATTACAAAATCAAAATCAAATTTACAAATCTGACCCACAGAGATCCTGCAATGCATCCCAAACTACAGAGAATATTATGTACGGAGTTCGTATGCATGTGAAATTTATGTACAATATTGTTACATACTGTTGTAGAAAATGTGTATTTTTTATAACATTGATGTACACAAAGTCCGCACGTATACAAACTCCACACGTAATATTTTTTTTCCAAATCTCGTTCATCAAAACATTATAATCTTGAAAAAAACCAATGCATTTCATCAAAGACCTCTAAGTCACTAATTTTCACTTAAAAAGAAAACATAGAGAATTATACTATTTTTAAATTAGATTTAATCATTAAAATAAATAAATATAAATACAAAAAAATGTAAAAAAATTTATACAAATTTGCCCAATAAGTGACCATACCAACCCTGATAATGAATAATGAAATTTTACAAGATAAATTTAGTCACTCACATATTTTATATCTCTTTTATTAAAATATATTCCATGCAAATCCTAATAGTCATGCCCACTTTAAAATAAAAATATATATAGTCAATTAAATTCATTTGTAATTCACAAAATATCCATAATAAATCTAAACTTTATCTCATAAAATGATTATTTATGATAATATTAAGATCAATAAAAACTCGAAAGAAATCTATGAGAATACACAAAACAAATATATATGTAAAGCTGTCAAACCAGTGTTGTTCGCGAACAGTTCGTCCTCGGCTCGTTAAAAAGCTCGTGTTCGGTTCGTTCGCTAAGTTTTAAAAAATTTAATTGAATAAAAGACTACAAAAAATTATAATAAAACATATAAACTAAAAAGTTATTAAATTATATTTAAATTGTGTTTTAATATAAATAATAAGATTGAAATCTCGCCCTAACTCTTAACATCATACGGTTGAGTGACTAAGGTTTTCAAAACAACTCATTGTTCGCGGACAACACGTGTTCGACTTTGCTAAGCAAACAAACCGAACATGAGCATGATTTTTTTGTTCGAAATATAAATTAACCGAACACGAACATTTACATTTTTTTAATGAGCCAAACATAACCTGAGCTCCGGCTCGCTCGTGTTCGGCTCATTTACCCTCCTGTATATATGATAAGCCTGATTATAAATATAGAACCTTGAAAACACTTAACAGCAGTACACAGTGCAAGCTTGTACAACTAAGCGAAGCCACAAAATAAGATCTTAACCTTCTCAAAATCTACAAATTCTACCAACACAAAAAAATGGTGAACTTCCAAGACCAAAGTTGAATTAATTATGAACAAAATGTATATATAACTGTACAATAACCAGATCATTCATGTAAGAACAAGCAAGCCATTCAAATGAAATTTTTTCACAAATTCCCATAAAAAAAAGGAAATTTACACATACCACAATATTCTTATGGATTTACACATCTAACCCCTAAAGTTTGATAATTATATTTATAGTATTTTGGTGCTATAAATTTATGCATAAAAAAGGTATATTCGACTTTTCAAAAGTTAATAAAAATGACTTTTTTTTTTTTTTATGTGGTGTTAAAAATTTGAATGTTATGAATGTAAATATTAAAGTTTATGCGCCAGATATGTAAAAACACAAGAGTTGTGTGGTATACACGTAAATGCCCACTCCAAAAAAAAAAGGGTTACATATCTAACACTCAAAACTTTGTTTTTTTTACAGTTATATAATCCAAATCTTTTATATCACATCAATCAGTATTATGACTTTTAAATGTCAAATACACATTCATATCACATCAAAAATATCAGTATTATGACTTTTAAATGTCAAATACACATTTTCATGCATAGGTAAGGTGACATATATGAAAAAAATTAAAGCTTAGCTGTTAAATATGTAAATAATAAGAATTGTGCGGTACGTACCCAAAAAAAGGGAAAAAAAAAACAAGGAACAAGCTCAGAAGAATTTGGCTCTGAAAAACCATGGAAGTACTATAGCCAAAACAAGAAGAGACAAGAAAAAATTACAGAAAGACTTACTGATCAAATAGCTGGCTCTAACCTGCAAGTTAGGGTTATTATTAGCATCCAGGCTTGTGCCCTCATTCCATAGCTTCATGAAGCTGCTGTCTTCTTCTCCAACAATATTTTTTGCAGTCAAACCACAGATTTCACAAATCCTGCATTTTATTGACAGCTTTCAGAATATGGAATGCTTCAGGACTACTGTGTGACAGAAAAGTAGCACTTAGGCTGAAAGGAAAATTTTATAAGATGGTGGTGAGACCTGCAATGCTTTATGGCGCTGAATGTTGGCCTTTAAAAGAGAAGCATAAAACTAAGTTAAGCGTTGCATAGATGAGAATGATTAGGTAGCTGAGTGGCTTTACACTTAGAGACAAAATGCGAAATGAATATATCCATGATAGGGTTGGTGTAGCTCCAAAGACGGACAAACTTAGAGAGAGCCGTCTTAGATAGTTTGGTCACATTAGACGTCAACCATCTGATGATCCGATTAGAAGATTAGATGTTTTAGATTCGACTTATGTTAAGAAAAGCAGAAGTAGACCTAGAATGACTTGGGCATATTATATAAAAAAGGATCTTAATTTATTAAAACTAAATGAAAATATGACATTAAATAGAACGCATTGGAGAAACATGATTCATATAGCCAACCCCACTTAGTGGGATAAAGGCTTTGTTTTTGTTTTTGTTATACTTTGTTTAATAAAAAAATAAGCATATTATCACTTATAAGAATGGATGTAATAAAACACAAATTGATTTTTTTAAAAAAGAGATCATCAAAATTATAAAAATTATAAGGTCATTCCAAATGAAAATTTAAGTATTCAACATCAATTTTTAGTTTTGGATTTTAAGATAAATGACTGAAAAATGAAAAATATAATAAAATATTGTCGACAAAATAGAAGAGAGCACTTAAAAGATACAAAAAAATTATTTTTATAAGTAAATTTTAAGATTTTAAGATTTGAGATGTTCATGAAGAAGCTAATACTGTTTGAAATAAAATAATTAATATTATTAAGCAAGTTATAAAAGACACTGAAACACAAAGCAAACTTTTATTAATAAGACAATAGGGTTACAACACAAAGCAACCGGACGCAACATAAAACATAAACGACACAAGCAAACATCTTTAAGTTACATCTTCATCCTCTTCTTCAAGCTTCCTCTTAATCTTACAATTTAATTTCTGTTAAGAAAGTAACCAAGGATAATAGTTGTCGTATCCTACTAACAAATTTTACATCTAGGATTCTTTCAGTTTCCACTACATGTCAAGATTGTTTAAGAAACAAAAGTGTCGTAAATTGTCTTTTAATTATAGTACTACACACTATGCTTTACTTGATATGATATATTCTCTAATGAATGTTATACATATTATGTTATTTTATTGATGCCTTTTCATGTTTTTGTTGGTGCATACACAGGAGACATAAATCCAAAGTTTCATACCATTTAATCTCATTACACAAACACATACACACTCATCACAACAAAAACATTAAATAGCTTAGTTCGGACGTGGGGGGAGAGTACATATCTCATCATTTGAATAACTATTTACAAATTCATGGAATTTATTATTAATTTAGTTGCCCACATACACCTGAGCAAAATGAGATTGTTGAATGTAAAAATAGTCATCTTGTAGAAAGTGTTTGCACTCTCCTAGACACTGCTTATCTTCCACCTCAATTCTGGATGGAAGCTATTCTCCCAACTAATTATCTCATCAATTGATTGCCCTCCAATACCACTCACACAATATCTCCTTTTTAACTTCCACAAACTTGATTATCAACACCTTAAAATCTTTCATGTTTTTGTTTTCCCTAGGAACAGCCACTAGCTTCTCACAAATTTAGCCCAAAGGCTTCCACAAATATTTTTCTTAGCTACAGTCATCATCACAAAGGTTATAAGTGTCATGATATCAGTACTCATAAATTTATTATTTCTAGACATGTTTCCATCATAGAACATCAATTTCCTTATCAACACAAGCCTACATCCTCTTTCATTGATCCCATCCCTACTCATCCTCCATCCCTTCTGATACCAACAAATAACATTCGGTATCCTCCCCTCTCATCTTTTCCTACCACTACCTCCACTTCCTCTACCCATTTCACCAACGCAAACATTTCCCAACCCATACCATCATCTAAAACTACTTTTCCGTCACCTGAAGTCATTCATTAAAAGTCTCCCCCAATTCCCTCCTATCCCGCCCCTCCACAAACCCATCCCAAGATTACAAGATCTAAAAATAGATCTGTCCAACCCACAAAATAGCTCAATTTACAACATCTCACTACACATTACACTCCTACCAATTTTGCTCAACTTATGAGTAGTTCCCACTGGAGACAGGTCGTGTCTGATGAATTTGTGGCTCTCCAACAACAAGGGACATTGGCTTTTGTTCCTTCTCCACACAACCAACACATGCTACAATGCAAATGGATTTTCAAAATCAAACATCACACAAATGGTTCTATTGTCATATTCAAAGCTCGTCTTCTGGCTCAAGGTTGCTCTCAACAAAAAGCCATCAATTATCAAGGACGTTTAGCCCAGTTGCTAAATTTCCTACCATTTAGATGCTTCTCAGCTTAGCTGCTCATGAGAACTAGGATATTCAACAATTAGACATTTCTAATGCTTTTCTTAATGGGACACTAAAGTAAATTGTTTATATGAAGCAATCTCCTGGATTTACATATACTCAAGATCCTAATTATGTTTGAGAATACATAAAGTCATTTATGGGCTCAAACAAGCTCTCGACAATGATACTCCACATTTTGTCAATTCCTTCACACTCAACACTTCAAACTAAGCATTGCTGACCTATCTCTTCTAATCTATAACCATGGTTCTATCATAATTTATCTTCTTGTCTATATTGATGATATTTTTATCACATAAAATTTCAAATCTGTAGTCACCTCCTTAATTAATACTCTCGGTGCACAATTTCATTTAAAATAACTAGATCACGTTTCTCACTTTCTAGGTCTTCAAATTCAACATACTCCTACAGGCTGTTTCATACACCAAACAAATTATCTTACTGATTTACTCAACACCACTAGCATGATCAATTCCAAACATGCTCTCACTCCACAACCTTAAATGCACTCCAACTCATGGTTTATTCATGCATGCAAAAACTCTTGTTCTACATGCTTATGCAAGTGTCGATTGGGTCTGCAATCATCTGGATAGAAAGTCCACAACTGGTTTTTTGCATTTATCTCGGACCTACCTTTCCTTCTTGGTCGGCTAAGAAGCAATCCACATTACCATTGAGGCCGAATACAGAGCTCTAGCCACTACTACAACTGAAATAATTTGGCAAAAACAACTCTAACAAAAAATCACCACCTACAACGATTATTTACCGCGCCAACGCATCTGCAATCTCTTTGGCTCACGACCTCATTTTTCACTCTCGTACTAAATACATAGAGGTGGACCACCACTTCATTAGAGACCACCTAAAACTTGGACAAGTTTCACTTTATCACACCATGTCTGACGATCAATTAGCAGATCTTCTCACCCAATCCCTTTTGATCGCTCGCCATCAAAAGTCACAACCAAGCTGATATCTCAGACAACCAATCATCAACTTGAATGGGGTAATAAAGATAATACCTGCTTCTCTTGGTGTGGTTACCTGATATCCAAGAGCTCCGCGGCTTACAAGGCTTCACTGCTTATTTTGGCACTTTGGGTGTGTTTGGCTACATAATGGATTTAGTGTCAGTAGGATTTAGTACATCCGAATATAATAAATTTATTTTTTTGTTCGATTTATTAAATTTAGATTTAATATGAATCAAAAGCAAAATTCAGATCTTAAATCTAAAATTTCTTAAATCCATAAAACTTAAGAGTTTTTATGTTTGGCTTGATTTACTAAATACAACGGATAGATCCTATTAATACGGCGCTACCAAACACTCCCTTAGGGATTTCTATTGCAGAGTTTATATTCCCGTGCTTATAGTGTATCTTATCCCATTTACCCCTGTAAATAATATATATAAGGAAAATTAGGGCACCTGTAATAAAGCATTAAAGGAAATAAAATTCTAGTTTGTTCTCATGAAAGGCTTCAGCATTACTGATATGAATCCAAGGTCAAGTACCAGATGCATCCACAGCTCATAATCATTAAAAACAAATGGAATGAAATTTCGTTTTACCTATTTCTCTTAACCCTAAACCAAGCCTCGGCGCAGCGGCTGTGCGCAAAGCCCAGATCTCCCTTGCACCCGCACCCGATCTGAATCTGATCCCACCCTTCCGCCGCTGATTCCGCCAACTCCGGGCTCAAATGGCAGATCCGGCAAATCTTATACCCCTCCGATTCCAAATCATCGCTACTACATCCCACTTGAATAGATACACAGGCTAATCTCTCCGCTCCTCCTTCAACAGATACTGCATCGCTTGTTTTCAGCTGCTCATCGTGCTTGAAAACCTTCGCGTCCTCTGCTCCGCAGTCTGCTTTTAATGCGATCGTGACGAACCTCGCCATCGCCGGCGGGGTCTCGCCGGTCGATTCTCCAACGCCGGCGATTCTGCCGGCCATTGCCGCCTCTTACGGCATCGAATCAGGAGGGATTGTTTTCTGTGTGCTCTTCAGCTCGAAATGCAAATATCTCACCAAATATATTCTTGGAAAAAGTTTTTTTTTTAATAAATTTATTTTATTCTTATTAATTTAATACTATTTTAACATTAAATAACTTATTGATTAAGATTAAATTAAAGTTAAATTATTGATTAAGGTTAAATTCAATTTAATAATATTTTAAATAAATTATTGATTAAGAATAAATTTAATTATTGATTAATATTAATTTAATACTATTTTAACACTACATAAATTATTGATTAAGATTAAATTATTGAGGGACATGCCACATAATTCTTATTTATTTACATATCCAACTCCTAAATTTTGATATTTATATATATTTAAGAATATCATTATTACAAATCTTTAAAAACACTTGAATCCTTAACTCATCAAAAATATCATTATTATAAATTTTTTTAAAAGTTAAATACACTTTCTTTAACATAATTTTATGATATCAAAATGTTATAAATAAAAATATCAAATTTTTTGGGTTAGATATATAAATACATAAAAATTGGGTGTATGTATCTAAATTTTCCAATTATTAAAAATTCACAATTCATTATTATATTTTAAGAATATCTAACAATTTAATAGTAATGTTTAAAAATCTAGTTAAATTTATTAATTCAATTTAATTATTATTTTTTTTTACAGTTTAATTATATTGAAAAATCACAAGTGATTGGTGCAATTAAGGGCAGGTAATAGAAGTTGTCTCATCATAATACAAAATGTAATTGGATAACTATAGGAAATATTTTTTTTCATATTTTTCATGGAGATGGATGAATTAAAAGTCATTGGATTTTCTTATATTATTATAATATAAATTTTTTTTTGTGTTAATTCTTATTTATCTGTAAATCAAATCCAAAAAAGAGAGTGTAAGTGAGAAGAAATAGCGATGGAGAGAAGAATGAACAGTAACGAAAAAAAATGTGTCGTGCCTGTCATGTCAATTCTCTTTTATTCATAAAATGATTTCTCTATTTATAAGAGAGATTATATTAATTTGTGCCCTTGTTTCTAAACAGGTTGTATAAGATATTCTTGTCATTTTACATGTACGAGTTTATCGCTCAGCTGCTCTCTGGCTCGTAAGCCTGAGCTTTTTTGGCTTTGATTCGGCAGGACTGATCCGATTGGCTAGGCTTGGTCGGCGTTGTCGGATGAGAGAGCTTTTGGACATTACTGAGAGATTGTGGGGCTAGTTCTTCCCTCATGTCGACTTCTTAGTAGTGGTTAGCTCAGATGCCTTATTATCTCATTTTCGATCAAACGGTTTGTATTTGGATCATTCAATTGTCCTTTTGCTCTTCTCTTGGTCGATCGGCTTTGGCTTTGTTGGCTTTAGTTTTGGACGATTATACTTAGACACACAAATAGGCCTCACACCCTTTTGTTGGTTGGACTTCCCTCATCATATTCTCCTCTAAACCATTATATATCCATCATATTGTTTAAGTACAAATTGACTAGTATCAATTTATATTTATTTCAAATAAATTTAATACTTTTAAAACTTATTAATCAACACTATCAATATCGGGTCTCAAGCCCCCGAATGTGAAGGTAGTTGACAGCCAGCGTAAAATTTATCAAAAAATTATGATATGAATCATTTAAAGTTGTGTGTAAATGCAAGGACGTCCCCTAGAAGCGATGCATTGTATAGTCTGAATACAATAAAAAGTGTGGAAGGGTTGCTACACCGATGTCCGAGTGTAATATCAAATAAGCAAGTGTTTCCACATTATGGACGGATGCATGTAAGAAAATTAGTCCATGAAACAATATTAGGATAAGAACATTGAATATAGGTGTCATCACAGATAAATTAATGGAATTATTTGATATTATGGTTCATAGGAAGATAAATATCTTATGTATTCAATAAATTAAATAAGTTGGTGAAAAAGCTAAGAAAATTGATAGCTTATGTTTTAAACTTTGGTATTCAGATAAGAGTCGCACTAGAAGTTGTGTAGATGTAATTATAGAAAAGAGTTTGAAATATAATTATGTAAAAATTAATAGAATTGGATATCAAATTATAATCTGTAAGATTACTGTTGATACTAAGATTTTTAATGTTACAAGTGATTATGCTCCTTAAGTTGGTTTAGATATATGTTCTAAAGAAAAATTTTAGAATGTCCTAGAAAAATTAATACAAATGATACCTCTTGAAGGAATAATTATTGGAGGAGAATTAAATATACATGTTGGTAGAATGATAGAAGATTTTAAAAATATTTATGGTGACTGTGATTTTGGAGTGACTAATGAAAAAAGTAGAACCATATTAGATTTTGCTTGAGAGTATGATTTTGTAATTACTAATACTTTATTTAAGAAAATATATGAGCATACTATTATTTAAAATAATGTATCTAATAAAACACAAATTGATTATTTTCTTATGAGAAGAAGAGATTGTCGAGAATGTAAAGATTGTAGTCATTCCAAGTGAAAATTTAACATTCCAAGTGAAAATTTAAATACCCAACATCACATCGACTATTAGTTTTGGTTTTTAAGATCAAGAGTTGTAAGATAAATAATACTAGAAATCATTGTCATAGAATTAAATGAGGGTACCTAAAAGGCACAAATAAAATTATTTTTATGAATAAACATCAAGATTTTAAGATTTGAAATGTTCATGAAGAAATAAATTCCATGTAGGATAAAGTAACAAACACTATTAAACTCTTGGAAAAAGATATACATGAAGAATCAAAAGAAAAAGTTTTTATAAATAAAAATAATTGGTGATGGAATAATAACATGCAAGAAAAGATAAAATATAAGAAGTTATGTTAAAAAAATTGATTTAAATGTAAAAACTTAGCGAACCGAGAAAATATAAAATGGTTCGTATATAGTCTAAGAGAATAATCAGTGACGCTAAAAATTCTACTTTTAGTGATATTTATGATAGATTGGATACTAAAGAGAGTGAAAAGTATATGTATAAACTAACCAAACAAAGACCAAACAAAGAGAAAAGAAAAAGAAAAGTAAAGATTCAACTCAAGTAAAGTGTATTAAAGATGGAAATCAAAATGTGCTTTTCTTAGAAGAATATATTCAACATAGGTGGGTGAGCTATTTTTTATTAACATTTTAATGAAATTTCTGAAGATACGATCAACCTTAGTGATCTTAATATCGTTAATAATAATAATATATTTTATTTTTGCCAATGCATTAGTTAAAAAGAAGTTAAGATGCTTTAAAGAGAACCCAAATGGAAAATCAATAGGACATTATTATATCCACATTGAAGTGTGGAAATATTTAGAACATTTGGGAGTTTATTGGCTTACTAAATTCTTTAATATTATTTCAAAAATTAAAAAGATGTCTGAGGATTGGGGGAAGAGTATTTTAGTCCTCATTTTTAAGAATAAAGGGATGCATACGACTGTGTCAATTATAGAGAAATTAAGTTGATGTGTTATACTTTAAAATTGTGGGAGACAGTAATTGAACATAGGTTAAGACGTGATACAAAGATTTCTCATAATTAGTTTGGATTTATGTCAAGGATGTCCACTATGGAAGGTATACATTTATTGAGAGGTTTGATGGAGAAGTACAGAGAGAATAAGAATGATCTAAATATAATTTTCATTGATATAGAATAAGCTTATTATAAAGTTCCAAGAGAAGTCTTTTCGAGAGAGTTCTGGAGAAAAAAAGTCTTGATATGACTTATATTCACGTCATTAAAGATTTGTATACTAGATATGCTACTTGTTTTTAAACAAAAGGAAGATTGACCAAGTATTTTCCTATTTTCGTTCGATTACATCAAGGATCAGCTTTAATCTTATATCTTTTTACAAAAGGATGTACCTTGGTGTATGTTTTCGCTGATGGTATCCTTCTCATAGATAAGACTAGAAAAAAAGTTCAGAAAAAAAACTTGAATTATGGAGGTCTACATTAGATTCTAAAGGCCTTCGTTTGAGTAGAACTAAACTGAATACATAGAATGTAATTTTAGTAGTAGTAGCTCTAATGACAGAGTTGTAACTACGAGTGATCAAATCATTAAAAGGAGGGAACATTCTAGATATCTCAGGTCTATTGTTCAGAGTGATGATGATATAAATGGGGACGTTATTAGTAGAATTCAAGTTCGTTGGTTGAAGTGGAGGAATGCTTCAGGTCTATTATGTGATAGAAAAGTACCGTTTAAACTGAAAGGAAAAATTTATAAGACGGTGGTCGCACCTGCAATGCTCTATAACACAGAATGTTGGCCTTTAAAAGAGAAACATAAAACAAAGTTAAATGTTGTTGAGATGAGAATGCTTAGGTAGATGAGCGACTTGGCACTTAGAGATAAAATGTGAAATGAATTTATCTATGATAAGTTTGGTGTAGCTTCAGTGGCAGAAAAATTTAAAGAGAATCATCGTAGACACTTTGGTCAAATTAAACGTCGATCATCTAATGATCTGGTTAGGAGAGTAGACGTCTTAACTTCGACTGATGTTAAGAAAGGTAGAGGTAGACCTAAAAAAACATGCGCATATTGTGTAAAAACAGACTATGATCTATTAGAATTAAATGAAATTATGAAACTCAATAGGACATAATAGAGAAAAAGGATTCATGTACCGTCCCCACTTAATTGGTTAAAAGCTTGTTATTGTTGTAAAACTCATTTAATCATTTTTCTATAAGATATTTGATGTTTCATTATAATTTTAAAATTACTTCAAAATTAATTATTCTCAAATGGCTCATGTAAAGGTGAAGCCATAAATGTTTTATTAACTATTTAAAAATTTTGATGTTACTTATCTCTGACACTTGAGTGTCATGGGTACATTAAAAAATAAACACATAAAAAAGATATATTCAACTTTTAAAAAAATTAATATTATTGATATTTTTGTGTAAGATTAAAGATTTGAAAGTTAGAAGGGCAAATATTAAAATTTAGATATTATATACATACATAAGAATTGTCTGAAAAAATGTAAAATTATCATTTTATAATATTATTACCTTGAATTAATATCATTTTTTTCTTTCATAATAATAACGAAGCCGGTTCGAGATCAGCTTCAACTTACAGAATCAAGCACTTGCTCGAGCTCAAACTCGATTAATTAATCAACTCAAGCTTTGAGCTTAATTGTCTGGTTGGGTGAACTCTGTTCTGACAACTTTTTGAAAAAGCTACAACTGAAATCTGCATTTTCCCACTACTCCTAGCTAAGTACAGTTACAACTTTCTAGCAGCGATCTGGCTTTCATAGATTTGGAACTTGAACTAAAGGAAAGAACACGTGCCATATAACATAGCTGCATAATCTGGAAATGGGCTAACTGAACATTTTCTTTTTGTTTTTAATATAAAAAATTTACATATAACATAAAACAAAAGCACATGCAACTAAAAACAACAATAGCACCCCAAAAAGGGGAAAAAATGCAAATACAATTTGTTGTCTTAAATAATAATACAACATTACAGGTTCCACCACCATAGTCCACTCCCCAAATCATCTAAAATAATTTTTTTAAAAAATAAAATGCATCCTATTTTTACTGGGCAAATATACAAGAGGGTGGGGAAGAATGAGGCACAAAAACTTGGGCAGGAATTCATCTGCTATACAACTAAGGTTTATGAAAAAATCAAAGGGTTATATAATTGCCCTTTGGATCTTAACATAATCCCACATCAAAAAGACAAAAAAAAATTGAATTTCAGGTACCTGAAGGGTGAAGAATAGTGAGACCAGCCTGCCTTCTCACATGTTCAGGTATCAGCTTGCTGACAAGCTCTAGTGATGCGCCTGCTAACTGTGAGATATAGAAGGTTTTGCATAATTAAGAAGATAAATTATTGTTTATTTTCCCAAAGAAATAAGTTATCATATAAATGGGACTACAAAAATTGCTGCAAACAACTCAATTTGTTTTATTTTAAGATACAATTGTAACATTCACCAACAAATTTAGATAAATTGCAGAAGAGTCAAAATAGTCTGGGGATTAATTTGCACTTTTTATAGACTCTGAGACTAAAATAATCTCATGTAAATAGTCTGGGGATTAATTTGCATTTTTCTTGTCATTTCAGAAATTAAGCTGCTACATAAACATAAATACTAGACTTGAAACATTGCTATTTACAAAAGTAGCACACTCTCCCCTTATCAAATTCTCACTGAGATATCAAAATTCACAATGCATTTTTATCAAATTTCCAATAGTTTGATTCTGACACACATAAATGCATCAATTAGGTAGTTCAAAAAAATCACTTGGGTGCTATTTTGTAAATAACAAATGTATCCAGTTTGATGAATGTAATTATCCCTAAAATTGGTTTGTTAGATATATAATACATAACAATCAAGCCATAAATACATGCAAATCACACTTGATAAAAACTGGACAAAATCATCAAACTTAGAAACAAAGACTTATCTTTCCGGTTCAGATGAAGGCATCTAAAGCATAACTAATTGTGCATTTTATAAACATGAGAAAAAATAAACAGGTGGAGGATCAAAAGTTTAAAAAGCAACGTACTTCTTGTTTAAAGTTAAAAAGCGGGGGGAATGGCCTGCCATTTGGTAATCGAGCGTTGGGCTCTCGTAGCTCATCAAAGAAAGGGTGGGCGCATGCTTCAAGCTGCAAATAAAAAATGGATAATACATCAATAGCTGACAAAATGAAATATTATCCGATCCAACAAAGTTTAAATTTTGAAGACATTTCTTCTTTTTTTTTCTTTTATTCTATTAAAAAAGGAAGTTACAAATTTGCATCATTATCGTGTTGAGTTGTTCTACAGCCTAATTGACATGCAACTTCAAATGTTGAATAATCGTTTCTCTGAAGCAAATGCCAAGTTGCTTATTTGTATAGTTTGTCTAAATCCAAGTGATTCATTCTCAACTTTTGATAATGTTAAACTAATTCGTCTTGCCGAGTTATATCCTCAAGATTTTTCTACAGTTGAGTTTGTAGCTCTCGATTATCAGTCATCCACTTATATTCTTTACAATAACTCTAATGATGATTTCTTATTTTTTAGATGCACTGCAGATCTTTTGAAATAGTTTGTTAAAGCTAAGAAGGATTGCGTGTATCCTCTCATTTACAAACTTATTACGTTATCATTAATTTTACAAGTTGCTACAGCTACAGCTGAGAGAGTTTTTTCTGCAAAGGAGATTATCAAACATCGATTATGTAGTTAAGTGAATGATGACTGTCTCAATGATTGTCTTATACCATACATTGAGAAAGAGGTATTTGACTTGATTATCAATGAACCTATCATGCAGTATTATCAATCATTGCAAAAAAAAACTGAAAATTTTGTAATTATTATCATTATCTTATTGAGAATATACATTCTTCTTGAATCTAACTCTTGTGATAAAAGTAAGTTCAGAAGATGTGCTGAGCAGTTTTTTCTGTATAACTTATTGCAAGATGGTCTCAACTTTTCTTATTAACTTCTATTTTGGGATGTCATATGTTCCAAGCCAATTTTTGTCTCTAATATACTTCTTTCTACATTGCTATTTAACATTTACTTTATTTTCCATATATTCTACTTTTCTTTAGCCGTTTATAACAATGGTTACCTCTTCCTCCTGACAATGAATTCAAAATAAAACTTGGAGGAGCAAATATTGAATGCCGTATCATGTCTTATTCAGGGTTAAAAAAATTGTTCAAGTAGAACTCGCTAACTTCTTGTCAAAAGGATGATGCTAGCAATCCTCAGCATCACAGAAAACTTCTAAAATACGATATAATTTTTTTATGTTAATTTTTTTCACTATATTTGCCTACATTGATTTGATTTCTCTCTACATCATCAAAACAAATGATAAAATTAAATTACTAAGCCAAAATTTTCTAACTATGGCTTTAGAATGACTATAAAATACTAGTACAAGGTTTGCATATTTATTTTTTGAATTAAGAATATTGATTTGAGATGATAAAAAAATAATGGAGCATTTACATGCACGCCACATAATTCTTTTGTATTTACATATCCAACATCTTAACTTTTATACTCACCTGCATAACACTCAAATTTTTAACACCACATAATAAATCTGCCCCCATGAAAAGAAAGGTTGGTTCCGCCCTAGATGGTAGGTATGTGAATGTTCCATTTAGAAATTGAACGTTATAGTACAAAGACATAAAAACACCTTAACTTTTATATTCACCTGCATAACATTCAAATTTTTAACACCACATAATAAATCTGCCCCCATGAAAAGAAAGGCAGGGTTCCGCCCTAGATGGTAGGTATGTAAATGTTCCATTTAAAAATTGAACGTTACAGTACAAAGACATAAAAACAACCATATACACTAAACCTTTAGCCCCCAACCACTGTTAAGCAGACGAAGCTCCAAGAATGAGGATCAGGACGAGGGATGTATTTTAAAGCCATTTCAGAACTTACTGCAAATATAACGAGTCAGCTTTTCCTTTAAAAAACTAAATAAATAAAAGCAAGTTTATAAGAAACTTTGAAAAAGTTTTGAAAGCTTTACAGAGCTATTTGACGAACAACATTTGAATTTTCAGGCCAGAAGATGATCTTAAACTATAGATGATGAGTCGAATCAACCCTATAAAAGAAAGCTAGAACAGCCCTCATAACACCACAATAAAAAAAAACCGAAGTCTATAGGATCAACACAAACACACTCCCTCTCTTTTGTAAGGCACTTGAGTGTCACCCCCGACTGTGGCTCATGATTCTTGTTCCGTGGGCATCCCCTATTTGAGTTTTTTGTACCATCGTGGTTGTAACATTGCGGTGTGGCACTCCATTTATGTTGCTCCTATTAGCTCATTTTAAAACATTTCTATCTAGGACCCGTTGCGGTAATTTCATAGTTTTCCCCAATTCTCACAGTCTCCGAAGATGAAGTGATGCTCGAATCTTTGGCTCTAACCCTTTCATGAAATTGTCTTCCAGCACTTCATCTGACATCCCTCCCAAATTATTAGATAGCATCTCAAATTTTTCATATATTCCATGACGATCCCTTCCTGAAAAAATGCAAAAAACTGCTCACACAATTTACCTTCTCAAGTAATTTTGAAACGCTCCAACAATTGATCATTGATTTCTTCAAATATTCTAATTGGTTGATTTTGTTCTCTCCATGGATACCACGCTAGAGCCTTCCCATCCAAACATAAGATTGTCGTCATCAATTTCTCTTCATCTATCAACTCATTAACAACAAAATACCTCTCCATATGATAAACCCAACCATAGGCATCCTCTCCTACAAAGATTGGCATTCTCAATGTCTTTATGTGCGAGTCTCCGCCCAATTCACTTTCATGAATTTCATTCCCCCAATGACGCAGGGATGGGTTTCACTTCCTTGACCCACATTAGTTTCCCTTCTTCCTGGCATAATCAGCTCGCCCATCCCATAAACTTCATAATCATCTTCTGCCTAGAAGGTTGTTGCAACAAAAGGCACTCATGTTGTTGAATGTAGCCCTCTGTCGGGGTCCCACCAACCATGATCCCTTATTCCGGGTCGAAATCCTTCAAATCAATCATCTCCCACCCTGAATCTCCTGTCGTCCTATTTTGCCTAGTGCCTCTCATTCCAATAGACCGAATGTCGTTTAACTCCTTTCAATTCCTAACGCCAGAGTCCACATCCCATTCCTTCACCCGATCAAGCAAATTCGTATCCACCAAATGTAGGAATGTCACACAAATTCTTCTGATTGCTGCCACTCGCGTCCATTACAGATGCTATCGCTCAATTCTGCTGCAGACGGAGAGGGGTCTGTGTGGGACTCGGTAATCTTCTTTATCATTTCTTCAAGGGTTGCGAACCACCCCTCCATGGCTGAGAAATGCTCCTCTATTCCATATCTAATTCGATTGACATATTTCATTAGTTTTTCCTTCAAAGCATCCACTTTTTTTGCCGCCATGGCTCCTTGTACTGTTTTGAAACTCCTTTACCCTGAAATTACGAGATTCAATATTTTTTAAAACGGGTTTGGCAGTCATGGAACTTTGGAAACCGCGATCCTAAAATTCTTGCACGCAAATCGATGCAAATATTGCAAACTAAATTCATGGACGTTGCAAATCTCGATCACTAATTTCCCCGCACGAATGACACAAAACTCCCTTACGCCACAATCCTGATCGCATATGTCAATTAAGAGAAACGTGGAACTCATGTAAGTTGTGATTTGTTGTCTATACACCATGATATGGTGTTTATAAGCAACAATCCCACATGTTGGCTTCCCCCGTGACTGTAGCATTACCTGTATGTCGCTATCCCCCTGACTAACTCTAATCGCGACTGACTTGTGAAGGAACACTACCTGAATGTCGAGATCCTCACCAACAAGCTCGAATCACGACTCGTGAAGCGGTGTCGAAGGAATGTCGCAACAACTGCATCCACGAGCCTCGGAGAGGAAGATGGAAGTTTTGGGTTTCTATATGTAACAAGCCCCAACGTTCGCTTCCTAGGTGTATGAAATCTTGTCAGTCTTCACAGATGCAGAACACGATCCCTTCATCCCCATACCAACGAGCTTAACTCGCAACTGTATCACAAACGTTTGGGTCATTCTAAGTCGCGATCCTTTCTCCTCCCAAACGACCGTAACCCCGTCAGTCTTCTCCAGCTCTTGATCTGATCGACCTGGACGCCCCGATTTGCAACCCCTTCCTCTTTGTTTCTTTTTTTTCCAAGATGGATTGCTCTGATACCATTTGATATCATTTAATATTTTATTGCAACAACATCAAACATTTAAGAAAAATACAGAGATAAGCACCCACAATTGAAGAGATGGGTGATCTCTCCCAATTCCTACATTTCGAGAGATATCAAATCCCTCCCAAACCGTAACCCCAAGATACATAACCCAATCTCATACATAACCCTAATTCTAAACATATTAATCTTATTAATGACAAAAGGCTGAATTGCTCGTAGGCTAATAAAAGACAAATTCATCCCTAAGTGTTCCTCCCATATCATGAAATACCATTTATATTACAAATTCTAGCTCTCATTCCTCTCCAACATTAAACTTTCAAAATCATCAATAATAGAATTTAGGGGACATTTGCATATATACCAACCAATTCTTATGTATTTACATATCTAGCACCTAAACTCTACCTATTACATTTATACCGCCCAAATCTTTCCTATTAACACTCTATTAACTTTTAAAAAGTGAAATACGCATTTTCATACATAAGTGGCATATATATAAAAATTAAAATTTAGGTGTTAGATATGGAGATACATAGGAATTAAGTGGCATGCATGTAAATGTTCCTAGATTTTATAGTGGTTCCCACTTTTCTAGTGTTTCAAGTCATGTACACAGTAACATTTGCTTCCTCATGTTATTAACATAGTATTATTGGTCACCTTCTAATAATTACTGCAAGAGAGAGAGAGAGAGACAGAGAGAGAGAGAGAGAGAGAGAGAGAGAGAACTTTCTTGAACTAGATACCTAATTATGATGCTTCGATTATAATCTTGTTACTCTTCTAAATTTGTACTTCTTAAACTCCCACAACATTTAAAAGAGTTCAACATTAGTGAGAAGAATCTTCCTACAATCTCTTGCCGAAGAATAAGTCACAAGCATGTTAGTAAAGTAGAATTAGCCAACGAAACTCAGTCCAAGAACTACGACTCCTTTAAATTAGTTGAACTACATCAATTTACATACATACTGAGACATAGCGCACAGTGATTGCAAGCAACAATCCAACAAATTAGAAACAATAAATTTGAAACCAATAACTTTTTGAGGGCATTTACATACATACCGTTCAATTTACATATTTGCATATCTAACACCCAAATTTTATTTTTTACATTTATATCATCCAAAACTCTCATATTTTATTTTTTACATTTATATCATCCAAAACTCTCATATCACATTAAAAAATACCACTAGTTTAACTTGTAAAAAGTGAAATACAGCTTTTCATGAATAGGTAAGGTGGCATATAAGTAAAAACTGAAGTTTAGGCGTTAGATCTTTCATCAAAATGAACAAAGCATATAACAGTTGTGATTACTCACAGCAGTGCAACGAAGACTTGGAGAATATTGAAGAAGCCTTGATGCAAGATCTATAGCTTCTGGAGGCATTCGTTTATGAAAAACCTGAAATTAAAAAAAAAGAAAAAACATAATAAAGCATAGATTTTTTATATCAAAAATAGTTACAATTTTGTCTCGTTTATATGTAGATGTATTCTGCAACAATCAACACAAATTCTCTTGCCACATCAATAAGCTGAACGACTTATGGTCACAAATAGACTTGACCAAGTCTTTCCCAAACGTTGGAGTAAAACAGAAGAGATTGGCCTTTTTTACAAGATTAAATTGGGAAATTTACATATGTAGCACAAAATTCTTATATATTTACATATATCACACCAAAACTTCCATATGTACATACATAGCACTTTGTTGCTTTAAACCTATGTATGAAAAATGCAATCAAATGCAGTCATTTCAATCCTTCTCTCAATATTACAAAAGCCATAAATAAAAAGGGGCATTTACATACACAGCACACAATTCTTATACATTTACATATGCTACACCTAAACTTCCATATTTAGACCTGCAGCACCCAAATCTTTAATATCACATCAAAAGTGGCATTATTGCCACGTTTTAAAAGTGAAATACACATTTTTATGCAAAGGTTTAAACCAGCAAAGTGCTATGTATGTAAATATGAAAGTCTAGGTATGAGATATGTAAATAAATAAGAACTGTGTGCTATGTATGTAAATTTATCAAATAAGAAACAGAAGAAGAGAGCACACACCTTATGCCAAGGATGAGCTTTTATCTGAGGAAACCGAAATTCAGTGTAGTTTGGATTCATGCATCGAATTTCTTCTCGAGTTGGAGTGCCAAGAACCTATAAATATTTAGTAATCCAGTCTAGAAGTCAGTAAATCAATATAAATTAGAATATAAACAGATGCGAATTCAGTCACATACCTTAATTATCTCAACCAGTTGATCAACAGCACTTTCACCCGGAAAGAGCGGCTAAAGAAGACGCCAAAAGAAAATGTGTAAGAAATGTGAAAAAGAGACTTATTTAAATGAATTTGCCACAGAATTATGCAAATATATTCTAAGGTTCTGCAAATTTAATTAAGTTGCATACCTGACCGAGTAACAACTCAGCAAGAACACATCCTGCAGACCATATATCGATTGATGAGGTATATTCCACTGCACCAAATATGAGCTCAGGAGCTCGGTAATATCGAGAGCAGATGTAAGATATGTTAGCCTCTCCTTTTACCTAAAACAATTAGATTGGGATAAGGCTAACGTGATGACAGAGACAATGAATAATTAAGGTTATGCAAAAGCAATTCCAGAAGCAAATAAAATTAAATAATTACAAAAATGATATCAAAATCTAATATCACTGTTCAATTTGTAAAAACCTTCTGAGCAAACAAACAAAAAAAAAGATGTATATATTCTATGTAAATTACAGAATGGAGTAGGAACTATAACATGACCAAAAACCATTGAAATTTAAGCTCAAAGAAGAACTGCTTGGTTTGCAGGAAAGTTAAGAGAAAGCTTAATATATTGCAATGGATGGGGAAGATGTTATAGAACAGTTTATATGCACACAAGATACAACTACAAGCTAAACTTGAATTTCAGGCTAAAAGTCATCGATGGCTTAAGACACGCAAGGATTCAAGACTTGGGGTAATGATTTAATTTTTTACATGTAATATAATGTTAATAAATTAAACATAAAAAAAGTTTTAATAAATATTTATTAACTTCTTTATTTATATATTTGTTAACACAGTATTTCATGAGTTCTTGGGATTTTGGCTGATACCTAAACCTGCCAAATTGAGAATTTTAAGTCATACTGTTGAAACCTAATTTTCATGGTCTCAGAACAACTCCAGCTGAAACCTAACTAATTCTACCTTTTCGGATTGGTTTCAGCCAAATGTAAAAAACTGTACATTCAATGGATTCATGTAAGCTGGAGTTTTTTTATTAGAAAGATTTACATGCATATTATCAATCAAGAATAATGAAATCAGAGAGAATTATGAGTTTCCTTCTTTGAATTGCCGGCTTAAATTCCTTACTTTTATTGCACATATTTTTTTTCCTTTTAACTGAATATTTAAATTAGTAATATGTATTATTCAGCTACCTAAAATAGATTATACAGATTATTATGTACCTAAAACAGATTGTACAGACTATTACAGACTATTATTTATTGGAATGAAACCAAGGGAAAAGGCATTCAGCCTATTCACTCAAATATTGACACATATCACTCAACTAAACTTCAATTTTTACAAACATGCCACCTTACCTATGTATGAAAAGGTGTACTCATTTTTTAAAAGTTAAAAAGGTGATATTTTTTACGTGATATGAAAGATTTGGGTGGTATAAATGTAAAAAGTAAGGTTCAGTTGTCACATATGTAAATACATAGTAATTGGGAGGTATGAATGTAAATGCAACTTTTTATTTTCAAATTTCACATGGAAAATGGAAAGTGAAGATTTCCCATTTCTTCTACAGATTTAGATCACTCAATTATCCTGAGGTATTACGTATAGGCATGCAGTTGACACAAACAGTCAACACACACAGTATGCAGAAATATAACAATCAGATATAAAAGTGCAGAGGTTATGAACCTAATCAATAATAACATACATACCAACACCTTTGCGCTCCCAAAATCACAGAGCTTAACTTGGTGAGTAAGAGGATCAACCTGCAAGAGACCAAATTAATTCCATCAAGAAATGCATTGGCAAAAAAATAAATAAATAAATAAAACAAAAACTGAGGGAAATTTACCTACATACCTGATAATTTTTATATATTTACATATCTAACACCTAAGCTTTAAATTCACATTTATAACACCGGTGTCATAAACCTATGCATAAAAGGTATGTTTCACTCTTAAGAAGTAAGCAAAAGTGGTATATTTTATCTGATATTAAAGCTTTGAGTGCTATGCATGTAAATATTAATGTTTAGGAGATAGATATAAATACATAAGAATTTTGTGGTATGTATGTAAATGCCCCAAATAAAATGAAGATCAACATACATAACACTCAATTTTATTGTATTTACATATCTAACATCTAAACTTTAACTTTTAAACATAGCCCAACTTATCTATGCATGAAAAGGTGCATTTCACTTTTTAGAAGTTAAAAAAGCGGCATTTTTAATATGATATGAAAGATTTTGGCAATAAAAATGTAAAAAGTAAATTTTATGTGGTAAATATACAAATACATTAAAATTGGGTGGTATGTATGTAAATGCCCCCAAAAAAATGCTGAGTAACTTAATGCCATAAAATCATACCAAAAGGTTTTGGGGCTTCACATCCCTATGGCAAACTCCTGGAACAGTATGAATGTATGCTAACCCCCTAAAAATCTACAGAAAGAAATCACAGTTAGCAAGAGAGGTTAAAAAATCTACGAATAATCAAAAAATTGTTTCAACAAAAGCAAGATAAATAACACGCACCTGATACATATAAAGCTTCACATAGATAAGAGGCATTCGTTGATTCGCGCTGCTGTAGTGTTTCAGAACACGGTAAAGGGATTCAGGGACGTATTCCATTACCAGATTGAGAAAAAGTTCGTCTTTATTGGTAGTGGAGAAGAAGCAGTGCTTCAGGGATATCACATTTGGGTGGTCCATCGATCGCATCAACTGAAGCTCGCGATTTTTGTATCTTCTATCCTGCAAGACCTTCTTTATGGCTACAGTCTCCCCTGTCTCCAAACATTTCGCCTGTAAAGACGGTAGAAGAGATTGAAAAATCTACCAGAAGATCTATGAAGATCTATCCACAGATTAAGGATCGCACCTGGAAGACAATCCCGAAAGATCCGGTTCCGACAACACGTTCGGCCATGTAGCTTACGGTCTATTATAATTCAAAATATCCAGTTAGGGGACCAATGTGTTCACACTCTAAGCTAATTTGACTCCGATTGAATCAGTGAGCTATTGTTTACCTGTTTAGCTTCTCCATTCTTTCCTCCAATGGTGGTTGAGATGATATGTCCAGTGACAGGACCATTCCCTTCCACAACAGAGGTTTCCTGAAATTATTTTCAATATTTTACACAGATTACCGAAAGCACATGATAGAATGAAACAAAGAATCAGTATTATTATAAGATCTGAAATGGTAGATGGAAACAATGCTCCCTGCAGCAGTAACGAACACAGACACCATTCCCCGGGATCCAAAAAATCGAGAAATAGAACACAGCAGAAGAACTTCAAAAAGAATGGCAGCTGCAGACGGGTGGCCTTCAGCAAGCACATAGAGGAGATTGGGGCTTTGTCAGAGCAATTTAAGTTCAAACAGTCGAAGATGAAACAAGTAGCCCTCTTGGCAAGCAAAAAACCTTGCATGCAACCAAGATTCATCGACAAAAGGATGACCAGGAGAAGCTTAAGAAAATTTTCACCAAACTATAAGCAAATCTAAAAAATCAAAACAAAAATCTAGGAATCAGCAGATAACGCAGAATCGCAAGTCAAAGCAGACTAATCAAAAACACACACAATCTAACATCCAACAAAACCCAGAACCGTAAAAGTCAAGTAAATATCCAACTATAGAGAGATGACCCAAACAAACAAAAGATCCAAAATAGAAAGAGGATCGCAAATTTTCTCAATCTCCCAAACACACAAGCCGAACAGCCGATCTAATCAATGGATGCGAAGAAAAAACCGCTACAAGTCTCCCAAATCACCGCCAAACTGCAAACGAGGGACGCAATCTACCAGAAGAGCATCCACGAAGCACAAGATAAGAGAAGCTAGCATGCTTCTCAAGCAGCCTCACAACACCCGGATCTGAACAGCCAAAAGTGCAAAAACAGTTCGAGCTGGCCGGAATATACCTTCTCCTCCGCCATCTCCGGCCGATGATCTTCAACCCTCAGCGCCATCTCACCCTCCTGAGCAGGATGCGACGACAAGGTGAAGCTCCCCCCACCTAACCTCTCTCTCTCTCTCTCTCTCTCTCTC